TGTTTGCAGATGATTTTAATTGTTGTTTTGTTCCAGTATTTATGACTCATTCTATTTCCTCAACTTTTATCAGTAGGGCTAAGTTCTCTATTAGTCATTTAGCATGCAAGATTTTCTTTTAAACTAGCCACCATCACCTAAACTGATCTATTCAGCATAAACAGATTTATTTAATAGAGGTACATATTCTCTGCTAGGTTTTCTCATTACAGTTTTCAGAGCTTTCCTTCTCCATTCCAGCTGCTGTTTATATCTTTCATAGTCTTATAGCTTTTTTCTCTTTAATCATAGAAGAGCATTACTGTGTATGTGCACAATGTACTGTATTGGACTTAATTCTGCAAAACCAGCATGGTCTATTACATAGCATGGTACCAATGCTGATATTTAAGGTTGCATAATACTTTCCATCATAAAATTCTATTTTTATTTAATTATGACTTTGCCAAATTTTAATTATTTTGGCTGAAATTTCCCATGCTGGGCACATATTTTGGAAACATTCAGCATAATTGGTCCAGACATTTCTCTACCTGCTTATGCCCAGACAACATGGAGAAGGAAATTGCCTGCCAAGAATGCAGGGAGAAGGAGGGGGGAGAACTGAAACAGAAACCATGAGAAAAACAGGGAACGAGAGTGAGAGTAAGGGAGACTAGGACAGGAGTTGAAGTGGAGAAAACTGGGACAGAGACAGACTGAAGGGTTTATAATCAGTAGGTAACGCCCCCCCTCCCAGAATCTAGAATTGAACCCACATTCCCACATCTCAACATTCTTCTGCTGTCCGTAAATAGCTCTTAAACTCACTGGTTAATTGTCTCTCTCTTCCCCGTATGCTGGCTAATCCACTAAGGGGATAACAATGTATTACTGCTACCAGTTCCTCAGCTAGCTCAGATGGTAGCAGAGGTCTGTGCTCTGGATCTAAAGGTCCCAAACCTGCTGATGATCTATTTGGGGATTGATATGGTTCCACATTATAGAATTTTTTTTTCCCAATTTGCTCTCTTAAAAAAACCTTGAGAAGCTGCATTAAAAAACCATCATTAAAAGAATAATAAAGTTTCCAAGTCAAATACTCAGAAGTTAGGAAATGTCAGGATTAATCTCATGTACCACCTTCATTCAGCTGCCTTGATCATATCGATAATGGCACCGAGTAAACTCCTGGCTTCAATGAAGTCAAGGGAAGCTTAGTAATTGACTTCAATGAGGCCAGTCTGCAGGCCTCTGATTCATTCGCTGGGCAAAGTCCATCCTGTGTTGTGAATGAAGCAGAATTTCTGTGGAAAAATAGCAATAATGTGGTGGGCAAAGCATTTCCCATTGACTTCAGTGCAGCCAGGATTCACTCTGTATAATAATGCATATGCATAAAGGGGCTGAATTAATAGGCAAATTGAATGCTGGCATTTCCTAACTTCGGAGCACTTGATTTGGCTACCTTAACTTTCTTTTAGGTAACAATGTTTGGATGTAAATGGATCTCCATTGTGCAATTTCAAATACACACAAGCACTGACTAAAGAGATCTACAACTTTCAGGTAGATCCTATTATAACAAGTCTGCAAAGAGACTGTCTAATAACTATAATAAATCTACATGTAAACATATTTAAACAGGAGTTGGAGGCCTAATTCTTTTAATATTCTCTGAAAATTTTTAGTTATAATACACAGAAAAACCACCTAAATAAAATATTTATCAAACACATAGGGAAGCTCTTTACCTGAGAGCTTTACCTGGAAAAGCTCTTAGGAATATAATATGCATCTTATAACTTTTATAGCTCATTTTTCAAACAAGGAAACCAAATTTTAAAATCTTTCTTTAAATGGCATTTAAACTATGACACAGGTGCAGAAAAAGTCAGGAATTTCAAAGTGAATCTGTATCCTTAAATTAGACCACTGGGCCTTTTGCTCACCTCCGAGTGAGCTGAGGACAGAGCATAAGCCTTAAATTTGGATTTCATCACTTTGGGTAAGAACCTGTGAAGGGAACAAAAAACAATGGGCCAAATTTTGCTCTATGCCACATGGATGAAACTCCCACTGAAGTCAGTAGAAGCTTTGTTCATATGGTGATTGCAGGATTTACCCTGAAAAGTATAGAACTGATAATATGCTGTGTAGTGTCTGAGTGCAGCTAGGCAATAGGAATTAAGGATTTACTGACTTAACACTTGACTTGTTCATCCTTCTTAGAACAGTCCTATGACATCATCTTTTGATGCTCTCATTGATTAACTCTCTGATTCCTTCAGTCTGAAGCATTTTATCTGAGGCTTTTGTAGAGTGCTAAATTAAATGAATGGTTTAGTGACAAACGGATTGGAATTAATCAATTGAGTAAAACAACTGCATGAAGCAGGGATATGTGAGGCAGGATTTGAGGCGGTTCATACTAATTAGAAGTAAAGAGCTGCAACTGCTGCATATGTTGATGGGAATAGAGATAATGAGCAGCTAATTTGTGAGTTTATCTGGACACAGGTGTAACACGGTTCAGATGTAAATAGCATGTCAGAAGCAACTGCATATGTTGTCTCTCTCCAGTGTAATTGGCTGAAATGGGTCAAATATCTAATGAAAAACATCATTTTGTGTCCAGACCTGATGAAAAATGGCACAAGTCATTAACATGAGCAGCAGAAAGGAGATAGAACAACTGAGAGAGGAAGTACGCGTGGGAACCCAAAGCTGTAATTATAAACCACTATGATAAACAACTGTATTTGGAAATGTAATGTATTAAAAGTATGTGTTAATTTTACCTTTTCTACTAAATGACACCTGTATATGCATAACCTATTAGTTACTACAGGCTAATGAAATCCACACCTTCAGTTCACAAATCACTGGAAGAACTATTACTAACAAAGGTCCCATTTATGGCATTTTAGCAGTCATTAAACTCTTGAGGCCAAACAGAAAGGAAACAAAAGATCCTTTCTTGTTGAGGAAGAATAGTCATTTGAAAGGACCAAACACTTGATCCACACAAACTGGATTGGATTTCAAAACAGTATGAACTAGCCTGGACTTGTTTAAAGGCTGTTTTTTTTTTTTTTTTTTCAAAGAGCAGGAAGACTTCCTGGGACTTGTCACAAGTTCTTACTATCTCTTTATTCGCTTGCCTGACCATGCCTGAAGCGTTACTCTGGTTATGGTAGAAAGAGCAAGGGCTACTTGCCCAATGTGCCCCTTTGCAAGCAAGTGGGCAGGGAGTAAATGCCCTGGTTTCACCTCTTCTCCTCCAACTTATTCCTAAGCCAAAGTAGCTACTCAGGTGCATAGGGAAAAGAACTTAAGTTCCTCACAAAAAGGACTGAAGTTACTTACTCCATCCTGGAAGCTGGGAATGAATTTGTATTTTGAGTTACAATTCACCTCCTGGTCTTCTTCCCGGGGTCTACTTCAGGTCAGACCATAAAATGATAATCTAGTCCACAAGAATTTAACTTTTTCCCTGGAAGTTCCTTCTGACCCTGTTGGAGCCCTAAGGATCGTCCCATACGTAATCAGTCAGCAAGTTAAAAGATAGTTCTGTGAATTATTTCTGGTTTCATTGTTTGCAATCAGGATGAACCGTGTGTATTTTTATTCTCAAATACTTTCAGCTTAATTGTACAGTAAAGTATTTGTAACATCGCAATGCAATCTTCCACCTACTTAATGAACTAAACCATAAAAAGAAATCATAGCAATGTTTAATGTACACATAATCTCTCTCTCTCTGCCCCTGCTTCTCTATCCACAAAGTAATAGGAGAGCTATCCAATTATTTTTGAAAGAGCTTTAGTGCCCACGTTATCCCATTTTTCTCTAATACCGTGCTTGGTGCCTGAACTTCTGAGCAGCACCAAATAGCATTTCCCAACACTTTGTAGGCATTTTAAATGATGAAATTCTCTCTATCTTAAAATATAATGTGAGAATATGTTGGTGCTTTCACTGCAAAAGAACTGAATGAATTTTCTAATCTCCAGTAATCTATGAGACCCATTGCTGATTCTTACTGAATTTTCAATTACTGAGCCAGCAAATAAATAATTAAAATAATCAAGAATGTATCACAAAAGCTGATTTGGTCATTTATTTTCACAAGTGAATAGCAGTTTAGTTAAATGTTTTATGTTAACCCTTCATAGTTTACTAATAAATTTACTGCAGTTTAGTCTATACAAGGAGTGAACACTTAGCAATAAGAAACCAACAGCATGAGACCTGTCGGTATGTAACAACAATTAGTGAAAGTAAGAATCGGTGAGGTTCTATGTTATTTACTCTGTCCCCAACTGAGCGGCTCTTTTTGCAAAGTTGGTATTTTGAGGACAATTGGAAATGGAGGATAAATTAAAACCCTAAGCCTAAATATTCCCAAACTATGGGAAAATGTGGATCTGAATACACATCTCACAGTCAGGCCTCCTCCTCTAGCAAAATGTACCAAATTTCTGGGTCTGACCATGCCAAAACATGGATGAGTTCAGATGTGGCTCCACATTTTGAAGCTTGATTCTATTTCTAGTAAGGCTGTAAAGGGTTAATGCGTGACTGGGTGATGCTTAGCGCGTAAGCCATTAACCGGCAGCTCAGCTGGGCTGGAGCAGCCCCCATCCTGACATGGGCAAAGGGCTGCTCCAACCCGGCTGGGCCCATCGTACCGCACCACAGGCAGAGGGCACTCCAGCCAAGCCAGGCTTTCCACGCGCAGGATCCTGTTTAACCTGTTAACTTTTTAAATGGGATTTTACATTCCTAATCTCTAACATGCACCTGCTATTTAGAAACAGTTTCTTTGCTTTATTATCCTCTTATTTATAGTCAAGAGCATGTTTCATAGGGACTTGATTCAGAGACACGAAGCAGGAAGAAAGTCAATAATGATCCAATGGGAAATGTATTTCAAATAACAATCATTCCTCTCTTTGAATGACAGCACATTTTTCATCACATTTCCCGTTAGTAGATGACAGTATTCTGATCCTAACCTGGTGTTGCACTGGATACTGTTGGCCACAGCTGTTCAGGTCCTCCCGGTCCTCCTCGTAAGACTCCTGCCTCCTCCATGTGCACAGCACTGAATAAACAAACATACTGATTACATTACAAAGTTTCCATCTGTTTTTGTTCCACATTCCCTTTTCTGGCTATGTCTCCAAAGTCATCGTGTTCTTTGTTGCACCAGGGCTAATGCAACATTGCATCATGCTAGCAGCTTCTGCTATATTAACAAATCAATTATGTCAATCCTGCAAGAACTGCAAAAACTGCCATTGGTGGTTATTTGAACATAGTTCAACATAATTCCCATGCAGTTCATACAGACAGAAGTATTACCTCTAGAGGATGGTTTATTTTCATTAATGTGATGTAAAGTTACTGCCACTGCAGGTAAGTGACATAGCCCCAGATTCTCAAAGGTATTTAGGCACCTACCCTGCACTGAAATAGAAGTTAGGCACCTACATACTTCGGAGTACCTGTACCATAATCCCTATCATGCTTATGTTGCTTACGATGTCTCAGCAGTGACCTAAATAATGACATTCCATTCTAGGCTTCTTCAAGCATGCTATTATCAACCACCCTTCTACAGCAAATATCCCAATGCAATTGACCGTGCCCTATGTAGATTGCTTTATACTTTTGGAAAGCACTTCTGAAGGGAGAAATCAGGTGTCACAAACTACAGGGACCATGCAATATCAAGCTTTATCAGTGTCAAATGATGAACAGTCTCCCATGAGACCAGCAAATGTAATTGTTGCACACTGTCTGGAAACTCCTGAGGAGATGGAGGAAAATATAGATGCTTGATGTCTTAAAATGAAAAAAATGCCCATTTTTCAAATGAGCTTTCCCTCTTCACTTGCCATACCAGTGACTTTGGCAAAATCCTGACATAGCCCCTGTTCCTCTCCTCAGGCCAGGCTCCCCCGATTCCAAGGGGAGTTCTGCTTCAGTGTGCACCACAGGAAGTTTCTAAAGCTTAGTAAGTTTATTTCTCAATGTTAAAGGGCAAGACTTTGAAAACTGGGGCTCCATAGTGCAAGGTGCTGAGCAGGCTGGCCCCAATCCAGCAAAGAACTTAATCACATGCTCCATTTTAACCATGCCAATCAGTGCCGGGCAATTGGCAGGCCACGGGACATTCTGCTAGCATTGCCGTCCGCAGACAGGGCCTCAGCATAATCCTGTGGCCCATCCTGCTTCCCGCAGCTCCTATTGGCTGGGAATGGTGAACCGTGGCCAGTGGGAGCGGTGGAGGGTTGTGCCTGCAGACGGTCACCATGAGCAAAATGTCTTGCACCGCAGGTCACCCATCACACTAATATAAATATTCAACTGAAGTCAGTAGGGCTACTCATGTGCGTAAAGTTAAACACGTGCAACGATTTTTTGCTGGATTGGGGCCAGAGGGTTCAACAACGTGCAGGCTCAAGCCGTGGGTGCCTAAAATTGGGCTCTACAGTCCATATTTAGGCACCCAAATAAGCAGCATGATTCAGAAGTTCCCACTGATATCAGTGGGTCACTGGAAGCTGCTGGATGCCCAGCAATACCTATTTAGCCTGGATTTAGGAGTAAAAATTTTAGGTGCCTAAAATACACCTTTGATTTTATACAACACCACAAAATGTCCACTATTCACATTATCATTCATCTTATCACTTTCCAAATGATTGTGATCTTATGTTATTTAAACTTGGTTTAACTAAGGAAAATTAACATTCATATTGACTAAAAAAAGGCAATTTTTAGTTAAAAGGGCATTTCAAATACTTCATGTACAGCCAGTGTACTATGCATTTGTTATAATAGTCTCCAGAGAGACATGAAAATACATTTCAGTTCCCTCCAAGTTACGTCTCTTTGTATTCACCAAATGAGTTTCCATTTGAGTTTTTAATGCCTCTTGAAATTTACCAGTCTTTTTAAATATTTCTAAATTTGCAATCCAGTCTTATTGGTAAGGTCAGAATAGATCTGAAAATGAGACAGGTTAGCTAATTTGCTAAGATACAGAGAGCAAAGATATTAATTTATCTAGGTCCTACACAAACAGCACTGTTTTACCCCTTTTTAAATTTATCAGACAGCAAACTTTAATAAGGCAAATTTTGAATCTTAAGCTGGGATTTTTAAGGTGGGCATCTGACTAATAAATATTTCTTTGGAAATCTCTGCCTGACACCCATGCCAGTGCCCTTTTAACTTTGGTAATCACCTTCAGCACACCATGTAGTTAATAAAACATCTGCTAGTATAGTTAATAAACTCCTTTCGGGGGTGGGGGTACATTTTTATAGTAATGAGAGGTAGTGAGATGGAAAACTATTGATGCTGCATACAATCTGTTGGCATTTATCAAAGTGGATGACAACAGGAAGCTTTACTGTGAATTAAGAATGTATAATCGGTTAAATAATTCAATAATTGTAGCTATCAGGCATGGATAGTAAACGTATAAAGAAGCATGAGGTAAACAATATGAATGCACAGACAAACACTAACACAGCAAAGAACAGTGGAAAAGGCAATTACAGCAAATCAATAGGACTTGTAGGTATAAAGCCTCAGAAGCAGAACTTGGGTGCTTCCTTCACAGCAGGCAGATCTCACTAGTTCTGCAATTTCCAATTTTTCTTTCTCAGGGCACAGTTGAAGAAAATTGCTGAGCCCACAGCCCAACATATTTTGACTGGAGTGTGGGCTCCCGGGTGGGGCTGAGGATGGAGCTTTGGGCTGTGGGAGGGGGCTCCAGCTTTGGGGGGGGCCAGGGCTGTGGCAGGAGGGGCTGACCTCGAGCGGCTCCCAGGCAGTGGTGCAACGGGGGGCTGAGGCAGCTTCCTGCCTTTCCTAGCCCCGCAGACCCGGCTGCGCCCCAGAAGCA